GACTATCCGCTACGCAACCTACACTTTGCCCGGCTCGCAGGACCCGGTCTGCTGCTGGAGCCACGCGTCGCGGTCAGATGCCGACGCAAGATGACCACGGCAGAGTGGCTGCTGCGCTGCCGCCTTCATGAGCTGCGCAACTACTTCAACAGCCGGTCAGACGCTGCAAGCGTCGAAAAACAGCGCTCGCAGAACAGACCATGGTACTACTCATACAAGAGTGTTATTCGAGGCATAAAGAAATGCCTAGAACACCTCCCACAAGCTTCTCCTGCGACATGGGTATCGAACCAGGTTTCACCACATCATCGATGTAAGGCGATTCAGCCAACCTCGTAAAAAGAGACCTCCGACTTACACTAAAATTCGGAGTAAAGTGCCTCGCAGCCTCAGCAAATCTCTCACGCAAGACCAAGGATATGTAGCACCTTGAACGAAAAACGTCAGGCTCAAGCTGACCCGTAGCTCTCTCTGTGAAAGCTGCAGCAATCATGCGCAAGCCTTAGCTAAAGTCAGATTTAGGAAGTCTGCCAAGCACTCACGTCCCGAATACTCAGGCCATCAAACGTTAATACGGGGAAGGAATGCCGAAGGCGCACGCGGCTACACAAAACAGACACACGTTCGTCCAAACCTGCGAAGATTTGACCTACATACCAGGACAGCAACTACAACAAGGCATTCGGTCTGGGCCGACAGCCAGTCTTCCCGATGGGCACCCATCAAACACAGCACAGGCTGGTTTTGGATGCTGGTCCACTGTGCCTTCGCACCGGCGGCGGTGTGCCACAATCGAGAACCTGAAGGCCAGGCAGCAAAAAGCATGCATTACGCGAAAAAAGCACCTCATTGCATAATTGCATGCCAGGCCGCCTGGACATGGCGCACGTGCTTGCAAGAGACGAGCGCAAAGTTGTGCAAGATTGGTCGCCGGCAAATGACAAAGGCCAACCAGCCAAACCTCGAAACACCATCAGGAAGGACTGCAGCACGCCCCCAAACCCCCTGGAAGGACGACCAACTTCTACTGCTGCTCCTGAGAGGAGGCACCTGCGAAGTTAGATTGCAGCACACCATGGGTCTCCGCGCCGGTTTCACCGTAGCACGGATGTAAAAGCGGCCCGACAAACGATGTAAAACAACCTTTGCCGCACACACGAAAGCCCAGATACCTGCCAGAAGAAAAAAAAACACACACACACTCTTCCAACATAAGTATGCCAAGAATTCGGCTCAGGCTAGAAGCGTGCGAACAACTCACCACAAGCCAGCATCCTGCGGCAATGGCAAAGCCTGCGAGCGCGCCCTTGAAGCGACAGCGCTTCAGCGCCGGCGCCATTACTGCCTCAATGCCTGCAAGATCTCACGACTTAGGTGACGGCTCCGAGCTGGTCGCAACGATCCGACACTGGGGCAGCACTTTCGGCGTCTTTGACGACGGCTCAAGGACAGAGCCCCTGTGGCAACTCCAAGTGACACACGGAGGTCGCTTATCCTTCGGCTACCAGCTGCTTGGGGTGTGCAAAGAAGCTCTGCAAGAATACCCCAACGAAAACATCCGCGACCTAGAGCAGCTGGAGACCGAGATGCACGTCAAGATACTCCACGGAGCTCCTCCTGCAACAGGAGCCCCGGATCCCGATGGCGTAGGTCTGGAGGCATGGCAACCGGTGGTCTATGCACCCACCCCTGCCGCAGGCCTCGGCGTCATTTATTTCATCATGCAGCACAAAGTCAAGACCGGGCAAATATTGCAGTTGCCGCACTTCATAGCCGTCTTCGTCATGGAACCCGACGCAAAGACGCCCGCCATGCCCACCCCTTGGATGAAACACACCGAACATCCGCTGCAGCAGCCTGCCTTTAAGGCACTGCCACCACGCGGTCGACGTCACGTGCTGCTCCAAGTAGAATCGGAAAAAATGCAACAAGGCCAGGGCGAGATTCCACCCAACCAAGAAGCCCTCGATGAGGATGAATGCACCCAGAACAGACAGCTGCCCACCGATACCTACGCCATCATGTTCTTTGGCGGCATCTACACTTTCCGCGAGCTCTTCGACGCAGCCAACGTCCAAGGAGGAACCGTACCGCGACCCGATGGGACAAAAGACGAGTACGTCCGGCACATGAAGGCCACCTGTTCAGACTTCGACAAGCAAAGGCTGACGACCATCCTGGAAGATGTGCTGCTACAAGTACCCGTGTACCTCATTGACCAGACAGACAGTCACGACGACCCGCTTGTCAGCTGGTTACTGACGCGGCCGTCGGTGCATCTGGGCGAAAGGTCCGGAGAGTCCGCCTGAGAGGAGCCGCACAAGATCGCGACACTTTTGATAGGCAATGATGGATATAAAGGATGCCCAGCGAGAAGACGGAGTCTCTCAGCTCGAGCAGCCACAAGCGCTCCGGGCAGGCAAAACGCCATCTACAGAGCCCGCCCGTCGCTCGCCGATTTGACAAAAGCCTAGACATCCGGGCACCCAGCCAAGAAAGTGAGTAGAGAATAACGACAAAATGCAACAGAATTTGAGAACACATTCAAAACCCCCTCGTACTTTGGCTCAGACCGGACACATACAGAACGCCCGCTGCCTACAACAGCCTTTCTCGGAGCCTGAACTGCAATGTCAAAGCCTGCCGGCGCGCCCTCCAAGCGACAGCGCTTCAGCGCCGGCGCCATCACAGCGTCAACTTCCACGAGGTCTAACGAGTTGGGCGACGGCTCCGAGCTGGTGGCAACCATCAGGCGCTGGGGCAGCACATTCGGAGTCTTTGAGGACGGTTCAAGGACCGAAGCACTCTGGCAGCTCCAAATCACGCACGGAGGCCGGCAGTCCTTCGGCTACCAGCTGCTCGGGGTGTGCAGAGAGGCTCTGCAACAACACCCGAACGAAAACGTCCGCGATCCACTACACCTGGAGACGGAGATGCACATCAGGATTCTCAGCGGGGCTCCACCACAGACGGGTCACCCGGACCCGGACGGAGTGGGGCTAGAAGCCTGGCTGCCTGTCGTCTACGCCCCCACGCCAGCAGACGGCATGAACATCGTTCACTTCATCATGAAGCACAAGATCAGTGCAGGCCAAGTGCTGCAGATGCCTCACCTCATCGCCCTCTTTCCAGCGGAGCAACCCACGGAGGTGCCCACCGTGCCCGTGCCCTGGGTCGTACAGCCCAAGCACACCCTGCAGATGAAGCCTTTCAATGCGCTCCCTCCGCGAGGCCGACGCCACGTGCTCATGCAAGTGGAGTTGGCCGATGTCCTCCCGACCCAAGGGAGCCCTCCAGCCAATCACGAGGCCGCAGACAGCGAGGACGAACAGACCCAGAAGAACGACCTGCCCATCAGCACCTATGCCATCATGTTCTTTGGCAGCCTCTACAGTTTCCGCGAGCTCTTCGACGCAGCCAACATCCAGGGCGGGACCGTACCGCGACCCGATGGGACGAAGGACGAGTATGTCCGGCACATGAAAGCCACCTATTCAGACGACGACAAGCAGAAGCTAAAGACCATCCTTGAACAGGTATTGCTGAAAGTCCCCGTCTACCTCATTGACCACACAGAAAGTCGTGACGACCCACTTGTGAGCTGGATGCTGACACAGCCGTCGGTGCATCTGGGCGAGAGGTCCGGAGAGTCCGCCTGAGAGGAGCTGCACAAGAGCGCGGCAGTTTTGATAGGCAGCGACCGATGTAAAGGATTGCCAACGGGAAGACAGAGTCTCCCGGCTCGGACAGCCAAAGCGCTCAGGGCAGGCACGCCGTCATCTACAGAGCCCGCCCGTCGCTTGCTGACACGACAAGACAAACGTCGACTCCCTGCAATCCAGACCGTTCAACCGAACAAGTGAGCATAACTTGGCCTTAAACTGGTGAAAAGCTTCTCAGCTTCTTAAGACAACAAAACAAGCCTTCCACACATCACTTCATGTCATTATTACCCCGAAGTGCAAGAATAGAGGGCAGGCTAGGCACCGCTGCACACGCAAAGCCACGGGAGCATGCCTGCGCAGAAAAGCTAGCAAACCATGGCTGCCGCAGTCTTGCTCAAAAAGATTAAATCCCACGACGAAACAAG